CTCAGTGGGACTCAGTTGTCTGTGAACGAGTCCTGGAGTCTCAGTGGGACTCAGTTGTCTGTGAACGAGTCCTGGAGGCTCAGTGGGACTCAGTTGTAGAAATAAAGGTTGGATGAATGTCTGCTGCTCGGTGCTTCATGAACAGGCTGACAGAAAGGAACCACTTGTTGCAGCTGCTCCACTGTACACGCAGATTGTTGCAGGAGTGTCCGGGACAGAAGTAGCTTGAACTCATAAACACGTAGAGTTGATCAGTTTGAGCTCTGCCCAGTGTTTCCAGTTTACAGGATGCAACACTGTTACCATCAGCTCGTGAGCTGTCACGAGCTCTAGTGTCTGCAGCACGTCTGTACTCTGAACCACCGGCCCACACTGTATTCAGTTAGTTTATGAAGGCACAGCAGAAGTGTCAGGGCACTGAACATTAATATTCATCAATAAAACGAGAACAGAAACATTCATAAAACACAACCGGAGGACATGATTTGGCTCAGTGCTAAACTGGAGCTGAACAGGAGCTAAACGTTAACAGCAGCTAAAAGCTAGAGTGAGCCATCATCATGTAGGGTCGCGGGGTCACTGGTGTCCATGTCCAGCTATCATTGTGCACAAGGTGGAGGACATCTGGACATGTCTCCAGTCCATCACAGGGACACACAGAGACAGACGAGACCATTCAGAGTGTCCAATCAGCAGACGTGGGATAAAGTCATTGTTTTGCAAGTGTCTCTGCGTGAGTGCAGCTACGGCGTGCGCTCTCAGCAAGGGCATCAGAAGCATCTGTAATGGGGGGGGGGGGGGCACAATGATGTGTGTAGGTGTGTGTGAGCGCACGTTTAAAAAAGGTGTTCACTAGTGAACTAAAAAGCAACATTTCACCAATATTTCCTTTAATTCCACACATTTAAAACATGTTTCTCACCAAGTTTGTGTAAATTCATCTGTGGGTTTAAGACATTTTAACTTTAATACACTTTAACACAGAGCGTCAGGTCGACACTATTTGTCTTTATAGAGAAATAAAAACATCACTGGACTTTTTTACTTGTGTTCAACACTCCTCATGTAAATGATGTTTGTCATGAAGCTTGAGGACAGTAAGGTGTGGATTTTAAACACATTTCTACTTTAATGCACCTGAACACACAGAGTCTCTTACACCTGCAGAGTCTCACAGTTACTGCTGAGATAAGATGCTACAGACGTAGCTCCTCTTCTCTCCTCCTAACATGAATACATGTTGATGATCAACCCCCTGGTCAACACATGCCCGCACTAAACTGCTAAACTGGCGAGTAACACAGGAACCTCCACCTCCTCCACCTGTGCACGTTTTCTGCTGAGGCAGGAGGAGACGCACAGAAACACTGCAGGTGTTGCACCATATTCTGTGACCACCGTATATTGTAACCATGGCAACAGGCTGCTGTGTTTAGAGTTGGAGGTAACCAGGAAAACCTGGAGTGGAGTTTTAGTGGTTTGAGTATTCTCCTATTAATCAAGTGGAATGGATTCGATCACGAAGAGAGAAACTGCGCCGCCTGAACTAATGTTTCATAGTAAAAGTGGGGGGGGGGGTCCAAATGAACGTTTTTTTTATGTGGGGGGGACTTGTCCCCTTCACATATAATGGTTGTGACGCCTATGGTATGAATGAATACAGCAGCATGAGGTAGTGAGCAGCACATAAGTCACATGTCCTCAAAGTGTCATCACAGTGATTCTTCTGGTTAGAGATTCATGAGTCTAACAGCCTCAGGGTAGAAGCTGTTCCTCAGTCCAGTAGTTCTACACTTAATGCTCCGTACAGTACATCTGTCTGGTGTGTGAGTGTTTGTCTGAAGTGTTGGCAAAATATCTCCTCTCGTCAAAATTTAAGGAAGCTTTCAGAGAGTAATAACTGGGCATACGTCTTCATCTGATTAATTTATTTAAGATGGCAGTCAAGATTAGCAAATACAGAATTAGCTATGATGATCATTTTCACAGATGTTGAGCTAAAACAGGATGTGGTGGTAGCTGAGATCCATCCATTATCTTCCACTTGTTCCAAAGTAGAGTTGCGGGGGCAGCATCTTGAGCAGGGAGGTCCAGACATCTCTTTCCACAGCCTCCTCTTCCAGCTCTTCTGGGAGGACGAGGCGTTCCCAGACCAACTGAGAGACTTATGCCCCTTTTCCACTGTGACGACGCGGGTCCAGTCTGCTCGGTTCACCACGGTTTTCAGCGCATTCCACTAGTACTTTGTACCAGTTTTGCCCCCTTTTTGTCCCTTCTTCTCAAGGGGTCCAAGCGAGCCGAGCCTGCATAAAAACATGACGTCAGAACGCTGTTGGTCACTGATTGTCAGGGGGAGGAGTCACTGGATCTTTCAGAAAACTTTTCACCGATCCGCCATTTACAATTACCCGGAACAGCGGCTGGACCTATTTTTAATACTTTAAAAACAATAATGACAACACGGTGGTCTATTGCTGAAGTCCAGGCGTTTTTTGTGGTTGGTGGCCGACACCAAAATTTAGAGCGAGCTAAATTAGGGTTGAAACGATTCCTCGAATCATTTGAGGACCTGGATTACAAAAAATCCTGGAGGCAAATTTATCTTCCTCGAAGCTTCGTTAAACTATTCGGAGCACTGTGGTCTAGACAGAAGGTTTTTGTGTTACACAACGCTAGCACTTCCGCTAACACGCATGTGCTAAGTTTGTAGCTATGGAGGGAACGGAGACTGCGTAGAAGGAAGAGCCTAGGAAACAACAAGAACTGTCAAAAGTTTGGGAACATGTTAGACTAAATATCCTGATGCATGCTCAATAATCCAGGTAGAAAAATCAAAAAAAGGTCAATCTGGTCCTCTGGACATTCAAAAAAAACAAAAAACAAAACAAAGCAAAAAAATGTAGAAAAATAAAAACTACTGCGTCCAACTAATGACTGTGTATCTGTGTGTCCCTCGTCTCACGGGCTTCATCCAGAAGAAGACACAAGTGTTGTTCCTGCTGTGTCCGGTTCAGTTCTTCATGTTCATTCAGTGATGAAATAAGACTTTTCTTTACTGGACTCTTTTCTCTTTCTCTTCACTAGAAAGAAGAAACAGGTGGTTAATTCAAGCTACATACTGTTTTTGAATAAATGCATGAAACAAAGAAAGGTGCAGCTAACAGCTATAATAGATATATTAATAATAATAAACTGATCAAATAAGAAAATGAAAAATAAATTGATTTAAAAATAATGAAATAATATAATAACAGTGGATATATGAATCACAAAGTTTTATACAGAGTCAGAGATTCTTTATTGTCATTGGCACCACATGTGGTCCATGTAGTGGATCAAAATTATGTTCACAGGGTCCCAGTTACATCCAACAATAAAATATAAAAGAAAAACAGTAATAACATCTAAGATATGAACTAAGAAAAACATCAACTAAAAATATGATAAGCACTAATAGCATAAAAACATTAAACACAATACGCCGAACAGCAGCACGGACATGAGTCTGTGTGAACAGTTGAGCATGCATGAACACAGCAACATGAAACAGATCAGCAGCAACATGACACAGATCAGCAGCA